ATTCTGAGAAATATGTCCTTAGGCAATTTCATTGTCATGTAATCATCTTAGAGTGTAATTATACAAACCTAGAGAGTATGGCTTCCTAACCTAGGCTCCAAACCTTCACCTTGTTTTACTGAATTGAATACTGTAGGCAATTATAACACAGTGGTAAGTCCTTATGTATCTGAACATATTTAAGAAGAGGTACAGTAGAAAATTTTTAAAGATACAGTAAAAATACGATATAAAAGATAAAAAACAGTACACCTGTATAGGGCATTTACCATGAAAGGAGCTTGCAGGACTGGAACTGTCTCTGGTTAAGTCAGTGAGTTGTACATGAATGTGAAGGCCTAGGACATTACTGTACACTACAGTAAAGTAGACTTTGTAAATACTGTACACCTAAGCTGCACTGAATTTACTTAAAAAGTAATTGTGCTGTGACATTACAAGGCTGTGATGTTACTAGGCAACAGGAATTTATCAGCCTCAGCTTCATTATGGGACCTCTGTTGTATACGCTGCCCGCATTGACTAAAATGTCATTATGCGGTTGCATGACTGCATTTATTATGTTCTTTTTTTGAACTATTTTTATATTTTGGATTATACTTTGGGAAAATTACTGAGTTTCTCTTGAGCTCCAGTTTCCTTGTCTTTGAGATGGGACAAATAATAGGACCTACATCATTGGGTGCTACTTCACTGGATCGTGTGGGAGAGTACATGTAGAGCCCTAGTATGTTCTTTCCTTTACTTGTACAACTCACCAGAAGGATGATGGCTGTCACGAATAAAGATTGTGCTTTGCCCTGCCCAACTGCAAGGTCCCGCTACCGATTGAGGAGTATACTCTGATTCATTGTGAAAATGTCAGCAGGGGTGATTATCCCTTGCTGGAAAGCAGGTTCAAAGGCTTTTCGTAATTCTGTACCTCTTCTCTTTCCTCCAGGCCTACTCTGTGAAGAGAACATTGATGACTGTGCCGGGGGTCCCCACTGCCTTAATGGTGGCCAGTGTGTGGATAGGATCGGAGGCTACAGTTGTCGCTGCTTGCCTGGCTTTGCTGGGGAACGTTGTGAGGGAGACATCAACGAGTGCCTTTCCAACCCCTGCAGCTCTGAGGGCAGCCTGGACTGTATCCAGCTCACCAATGACTACCTGTGTGTTTGTCGTAGCGCCTTCACTGGTGAGAAGCTCTCTAGCCTCCTGACCACTCTGCCTTGGCAGATGGTTTTAGTGAGCAAATTGGGCCCTGTGACTTGTCCCAGACCCGAGTGAAGCTTTTCTTATATAAGAAAACCAACAGCAGCTTAATTTTTAAAAGCCAGTTTTTTCCTACTCTGTACTTCATAGAGGTTATAATCAGTGTCTACCTTTAATTTTTCCTTAGGGATTCTTTTGTTGTGCATTGATTATATAATGCAGGAATACTTTTAAAAATGTATATTGAAAGTAGTGAACAATATAACATTTTTTAATTGTGGCAAAACATCCAAGACCTAAAATTTACCATCTGAATTATTTTAAAATATACAGTTTAGTGGCATTTAGTACATTGGCATTGCTGTTCTACCATCACCACCATTCATTCACAGAACTCTCTACATCTGAAGAAAATGACATTTTGTTTTAAGGAACCTTATGTCTAACGCTGGTGTCTTCATCCTGCCTCCTTTGACATATAATAGCTTGAATCACCGGGTAGTTCCTGACACCATGATTTTTCCACGCCATGATCTTTTCAGGGAAGCTTAGGACCCTGCTTAGATACGTAAAGGGAGCAGGTCCAAATTCAAATGTGTTTAAGCAAAGATCAGTTGATGTGGGTATGAAATGAAAAGTTGCAGTGGTCACAGGTAACGCCCTGCCCAGTGAAGGCTTGGTCATGTTCCTAGTCTGTCCTCAAGCTGCTCTCTTTCATCACAGGGCATGAAGATGACCTAACCCTGCCTCAGAATAGGGGTCTTACCACAAGAACTTACTAGTACTTCTGGAGGGCACAGCATGGGGACTTTTGGAAACTAAAATAGTTATTTGTATCCAGATGTGGCAGGATACTCAGATTTGAAATTTATCATGCATTTCCTGGGGTCTCTAGTTGTATTTCTTATAGGGAGGGTGTGATCAGGTTCCTTGGGAGTCAGAAAATAGGCTGTAATTGTCTATTTACAAACAATTCATCAAGCTGAACCTGGTACATCCTGAGCCCATCTCCAGCCATCTTTCCTTCCAGCTTTAAAGATATGCTGCCTTACAATCTTGGAATTTTATGAAGAATGAGAGGGATTCTGCAGTATGGAAGTTCCCTAGATACACTAACATCAAAAGAGAAATAATCCATTATGAACTTCATAACTATTGAGGCAATATGGGACAGAATGAGTATGAACAATCTGTCCACAGCCTCGTATTGGCCAAACTGCACTTGGAAAGCCAAAGAAGCAAAACTGGCTCCTGTTTGTTTGGTTGGCTCTGAGGCTTTTTTCTCTGGGAACACTGACAAACATTTGCAAAGTAAGAGGGAAGCAGGAGAAGGAAGGAATGGAGACTGTTTTGAATTAGTATCCCATAGCCAGGAAGTTGTGCTAGTGCACGTTTGTGAATGAAAAAAAAAATCCCTTGAACACATTGAGCACAATTTTTGTGGGAAGCTGTGGCAGAGATAAACAGCAAGGGACTGGTGGTCCACCAAGCTGTGTCCATGTGGTGGCTGCTCTTGGTTAGCAGCTGCTGCTGTGATTTAAAGAGACAAACATTTATACCTCTTGCTACTTGATCTGGTGGGCCAAAAGCATTACACTTTTTTCTTCATTTTTAAAGATACCTTTTCTTTCCTAAGTGACCGCAGGCCAGGTGGGGCCTATCTCCTGCTGTTGGCCACAAGTCCCAGCCGTGCAGTGCCCTCGTCTCCTCCATGGTTCCAGTTGCCTCATGCTTTATCTTGGAGCAGTGGCCCCCAGGGGCCTCCTGTTTTAGAACTATTCCTAGAGGAAGTTAACTTCAGGAAAATTAAGCTGCATTTTAGGGAATACCAGTTAGGTTACAGAAAGGCCACAAAGTGATTGGAATGAGGTATATCACAGATGAAAACTCTCTGTACTGCAAATCACCATTTAAATATATGGGCCTGGTATTGGCCTGGTGTAGCCTCTCCTACGAAGTAGGAGATGACATTAACAAAATACGGTGAATGGTTTTTTAACTGTTTCCTGAAACTTATGAAATCTAATGTCACTTCAAAAAGCTGAAGCGTGATTTCTCGTTTTTTGAGGGGATTTAAGTCACTTTTCTCACCCATCCTGTTTGTGTGAGTTGGTGCTTACTGTGTAGGCAAGACAGAGTAAAGGACTGGCCTGAGCCAGTGATGGGCCGGTCATGTGGAGATCCAGTGAGTAGTATTTCCTTCCTTTGCTCAGATTACCACAGAACTGAACTTTCACACCCTTGCCCCACCTATGGGTAGTTCCTATCCCAGCAAAGCTTGGTCAGTAACTTGCAATGACTACTTCTGCCTTTTAAAACCCCTTTTTATTCTCTGAGGCCGGCACTGTGAAACCTTCATCGATGTGTGTCCCCAGATGCCCTGCCTGAATGGAGGGACTTGTGCTGTGGCCAGCAACATGCCTGATGGTTTCATTTGCCGTTGTCCCCCGGTAAGTGCCCTGTTGCTCATAAGGGGCATTCTCTCTTCCATACAATATCTGTGACAAAACTGAGATCAAACCTGGTTTTATCAAGCTTCAAAATGAGATTTCTCAATTTTAACTCTTTCAGAAGAAAGTGTTTGGGTTTTTCCATTTAAAGCTGTTTATAATATTAACTTTTAAACTTCACAGATGATTCATAAAGGAGCTTGTCAAGTGGCACCTCGATTCTCTCAGCTTACAAATTACTTTGCAGGTTTAT